ACTGAGCCACCCAGGCACCCCATCAACTTGGAATTTTCAAAAATAACTTGCTACTTATTGGTCTAAAGTAATGAGCTGATCAGACAAAATTTACAGAACAGCAAAAAGTTAGGCCCTCTACCCTTTATCCACCTCTCACAGTTTATATTCTCCTGTATATTACTCTAGAGAATTTCTAAAGACGCACAAACATAGAGTTTTGTTCCCTTTTAAAACAAAATAGGACCTATTTTTTCCCCTGGGCTCTGCTTTTAAGAGTAATTTGTCAGTAAGCAAGTATTTCTGCATTGGTTAGAAACTCCTTGGGGCAGGGATTGAAGGGACATGAAAAGTAAGATGGCTTTCTAACTCTCTAAGGGCTTATATTCCTTAAAATAGGGAAACAAATAGAACTCAATGAAGTTCAGTTGATGCTTATGGAAGAAAGATGCTAAAATGAGTAGGAGTGACCAGAAATGGGGTTAGAGAGGAGAGGGAACATGATCTATGCTTTAAAGAAGGGTAAGATTTGGATACGTGGACCAGAGAGGGACGGCGGGAAGAGGAGCTTGGGCAAAGATGGACAGGCAGGAATTCATCTTTTCCATCCGATGGAGTGACACAACACAGAGGCCACATGAGTGGGGGGTGGCCCTGCGTGAAGCCACATGGGGTTGGCATGTGATGTTCTCATCAACTCTTACTTTGGCTAAAAAAAAAAAAAAAGATAATTGTTTTCTAATATTACTCTCCCTTTCTTTTTTTCTGTTTTAGGAAAACTATGAACAGATGAAAGCACTAGTAAATCAACTCCGTGAACGAGCGCAGGAAATAAGATTAGGTAAAAATTCATTTATTCTTCATTTTATGCTGTTAATGAAGATGATCCTTGATAGTTATGGTTCTAGGAAAAACTAGTAGCAGCAAGCTTTGACTCTTTAAGACTGTATTTGTTGGTGTGCTGACATTTTTTCCTCTTACTTGGCCAGTTTTTCTGCTCCTATAGCACTGCCAGCTGTCTGGGCAACAGTTAAATTTCAGATTCATCAATTTTTTTTTTTTTTTAAAG